ATTTAGATACAAGTTACTCTGATTATTGGAATCAAACTTTGGGGGGCTTGACGTTAGGATACGCAGCAGTTCCAGTTGGGAAATAAAAACCATGTCCGTTGCCTATGGAAATTGATCGTTTTACCGTGTTCACCTTCACGGTCCGACCGTGCGGCACTAGCAGGAGTTGACTCAGTACGTATGACAGGTTGATCAGTTTAAATACACACGTCAACACCAAAATAACCGCTAATGAGCAACGTTCCGTCCATCGCGTCCTCACATGGTGACGAAACGTTTGCCGGCCAATTGCCAAGCAAGGCGAACACATCAACAGTGACCAGATCAACGACCAATTCAAAAGCAGTATTCGACTATGCTGAATGATGAGAACGAACTTATGGAATAAAAATCGTTTCCTGCATTTGGTCATCCTTTCTAATACCCCACAATTGTAAGACACCAAAATCACGGGTAAAGTCACATGAACTGGCGATTTCAAGCTGGAAAGAAGGGGTAGATTGGGTGCATAGTTTACAGAGTCAAGTGGACCATGTCAATAAAAGACGTCTGGGGAGAGGAGTTGCCTTCAAGTCAAATAAACTTCGGACACCCTGCACGCTTGTTTCGCACACAGAGGTGTAGATCAGATTTTATTGTCTCTGTATTCGACAATAGACTGAGGCATACCACTGTTTACCGTTTGGCGTATGACTCGGAAAGCGAGCTTTCTGTCCATGATTCGACTGGTTCCCGCCAGCTGTGACATGATCTCTGTGTCATAACCTCATTACCGTTCCATTGAGATGGGTGGAATCGACGCCAGTCTCACTACCGTTCTAGAGACACGCACGCTTACAATGAGGAGGAGTCGTTCTATCCTTCTTCGTGAAGACGATACGGATTATCAGCACTGCACGTATTCTGCACATCCTGACAGCACAGGCATAGACTAAGTATCGGGACTGAATACTTGTGAGCTGACCATTACATTCTACTGAGATTTTGTCTGGGACATAAACAGGTATCGTCGCAGTATGGTGCTTCAAACAAACGGGTGCGTTCATGTGCCTCTGGCCTTGACAAGTAATTTTTTCTGAGACGTAGAAGAGCTTTATCCAAGACCATTCTGAATCCAACGAAGACTTGACCTGGGGTGCCCCCGGAGGCCTTAGGCTGTCTGGTCACTCGCTTGGTACCATAGTTGGGCCATAGTAGTTCTAGGGAAATATATGTATATAGGCTAACTTGATGTGAATTTTCTATCGCAAAACGACATTGCACCCGGCTAGATATGGTCAATCCAATGACCTTGAAAACCGCTGCCTTTAAACAGATCTGAACAATAGGTTGACGGTATCAACCCAGGATCGGCAGTCACCCGTCATTGAGAGAGTGGTGAGAGAGCTCAGTGAGTGGGCCCATGTAGGACATCACTGATTTCTTGAACGCTAGAAGGTGGGTCTTGCTGAGGTGATCAATAAGGATCCAGTAGTTGTGGAAATCGGACCCTTATCTTTCACTAGTGCATTGCTCAGCAAAAGCTTGAAGCCTGCAAGATAAAACGACAGGTCCTCAGTGGTTTTGGAATGTGTGTACTGGGGCTTAGTGATCAGCAAATGATTCTGATGTTTCTACACTAGTTCCCTCTTAAGCGCCTGTGAATCTGTACAAAAGACTTTTGAAGCTATTTCTGCTTTCACCGAGAACTTCCCTTCCAGTTGACCAGGCCATATACGGGTTTTGTATCGGCCTTTCGCAGTCATAAACGTATCCTGTATCTCTGAAGTGACATTAGGCGCCGTTGCATTCGCTTAGAATATTCCTGAGTATTGCTGCATCCAATACCTGTTGGTGGAATAATTGTAGCAGGTTTAATTTGCATATCAGATATCAGGGGTTCAATCCCCCGGCACGTCCTTGAATGAGCATTTCCAATGAGATCGATGTCGCCGGACAGGAAAGCTGGCCATTCGAACGTGAGTACTATAAATTCCAATTGAACTGGCGAAAACCATTGCGTGTGATCGGTAAAATGCAGTTAAAGAAAGCATCGAACAGAGGAGCGGCATATGAGTTTGGATTCCCAAACGATCAATTGTCATTTTAAAGTTCTGCAGAACCGTTTGTGTAAATAGGCTTTATTTCTCCGCAAAAAGAAACACAGTTTGGTCTTGTGATTGGTTGGCTACCCAGGTTTTTGCTGTGTGGCCTCTAGTACAGCTTTTAGCATTACGACATTTCAATGACTGATGATCATTCCACATGTGCCTCAAAGGAATCACCCCGTAGGTCCCCGAAAACCCACTAATCGGTGCTTCTCAAAATAGCTTTCAATGCAACCGACATATTAACTGAAATTGCTGGCATCATTTGCCTTCTGCAGAGCATACTAACAACGTGAATCCCTATTGTGAAAACGTTTCGTAATTCATTTATTTTGGTGGTTATGTGATTGGAATTAACAGTGCACAGACTACTCAACGGAATGTTCTTAATGACTTACTATCAACTTGATTCGGTTGAGCCAGAAGTCACTAAAGACATTTTTACTGTAAGAAAATGGTAAGGAAAATCGAATTGAATTTCGCTACCAAATTGTCGGTTGGGAACGAATCAAGATCCAACGAGTCCTCTCCATTCAAGGAGTATTCACTGAAATCTGACGACTTCAGATCACACATAACCATCCTGGCCTAGAAAGGCGTGTGATAGCCATATCGCAAAAATTGTGAATATATCCAGTTTTATGGTGGGAATCGGCCCTGATTTTGTTCTACACTAGTGCCGAACAGCTAAGATTTAGGCCGAAATTGCTCCCGTACGTAGTCCGTTTTGAAGCTCGAGCATTGAGCTTTCAAATGTGGATGCATCATCTTTTAGGTTTCACAGGAGTTTCCATTTGGGTGAAAGAGAATGTAAACGTTCGATTCGCTGGAGTTCTGTCAAGGAGTTACATGAATCAATGGAGTTGTGAGAAATCTGAAACGACTAATTTTCCCCAAACATTTATGCGACAGAAGTCAGGCAATTTATTACGGAAACGGTTTGTATGTGTCTTCTAGTCAGGCCTAGCCAGCTCACATTGGTTACAGAATGAGTGAAATTTGAGGCAGCCGTAGGCTTCAACATAAAATGGTCAGAACCAGGTGAGGGGGCTAACAAGTTGAAAGATTACGCTACCAGGTTAAGGTCCTAGCTGTTGTAAATCTGTTAGAAGGGATTCACACAGACTCTTAATTGACTGGTATTCCTATTCGGGCTGAGAAACAATTCACCTCGTGCATGCCTTGAGTCGATTCCCCTATCGGTCACTAATTCCGTGCACGTTTCATGTCTGATCACGGTTGAACATTTGGTCAGTTTACGGGGCGCTTCTATGTTTTGTAGTACTACTACACACTCTCGGCACCGCCATCCGGGAATCGCCCTCAGGTCTCAACATCGCAAAAACAGCACCAAACTAGAAAGGAGCTGAATTGCATGTATTGTTAGACACAAGCCCCTGAAGTTTGCGAAGTACTGCATGCAACTAATCTTCCAGGGGCTTCGGCGGTCACCAGTTGCTGTTGCTGTGATCCGCTACACCAAGTTTCAAATCCAAGTAATCATAAGTCTACCCACATTGTCCACTGAAAAACCGACCAGCTGAACACATATCAGAAGTCAGAGGTGGAGTGGAATTCATAAGTGAGTTTAACGAGAACCAACTCAAACGTACGCTGAAACCTAGTCCATTTCCGCTGGCGAAATCAAGCTTAAGATCTTGCCCGTTTTCATACAAGTATCTGATCTCAGGCCGTGCGGTTTCCGATCGCTCGCCGATTGAAAAAAAATTATTAAAACCGCATTGCACCGATTTCAATCAGTTTTCGTTTGCATCGCGCGTTCCCCGCGAGTTGACTGCTTTGAAGTAGCGAAGTCGAATTTTCACTATCGTGTTCCGTAAGTGTTCATGCCAGTTTAGTGACATCCATGTACCTGTTCGTAGAGGCCTAACAATCGCACGCCACATTCACAGGGACATCGAAAAGACAGCTGTGTGTTACGCGCCGAATGCGCGCACTCCTGAAATGCGAGTAAAATTACGCTGCTGTGTTGAAAAATCCGAGTGTCCGAAGCACGATTCGGTTTCTTCAGCACAAATTCATTGTTCCACGACACCGCGATTCCGTTTCTCTCTAACTGCAACTTGGAATGTGCACAACATCAAGGATAGCATCGGCCTAATTATCTCTTTATTTTTCGCTGGGTGTCTCAAGACAAATTCGGAAGCTAGGTTTTCCCCCAAACTTGCATTAGAATCACGTGAATGGTTCACATAGTCAAACATCACACGAACTGCATCAGTCAGGTCCTAATTAGGTTCACCCGTCTGACACAGCATGTAGATTCCACCAGTGCGATCGATACTGTTCCTTCACCTAGAAGGGTTATCCGCCCCGGGAATCATCGAGATTTATGGCACGTAGTTCGGGATTAACCGGGAATATCCCGGAAAAATATGAAAATCACGGGCAATACAACTCCACTCTGTGAGTGGCTCGCTATCTCTCCAAACGGGTTATACTAATCGGGATAGAAAAGTGTAAGTTCTCTATTCCTGGCCATTCTGTGTGCTTTGGCCTGGTTCACTCATCACCATTCGGGGTTTCGGTCAGTTTGGCTAGTTGGCTACAAGTACGTTACGGTGGTTCGCTGAGATCGACGGAATCAATCCTTGGTATGCAACTATTGGTTTTGGGCCTAGGGTTATCACACAGGTGTGAAAGACAATCTCCAAGGACGCTTTCCCAACAGCTCCCTACATCTCGACAGCTAGATCACCGTATTTGCGAGGACAATGATCAGTGCTACATCAACTCAGGCAAGTGATTTTCACAGGGGATCGTAGGCCAAAACACGGTGCAAGCAAGTTTGCAGAACGAAGTGTCCGATTACTCATGTCAGTCCGCACAAGTTTCGCACAGGTCACAAAGAGTGAAACTCCGCATATGTAAGTCCCGGCACGCAACGTGAAAATGTACACCTGCAATGCCAAAACAACCAAGGCGATGACCTGTTCCAAGAATGAGGTGTGGACAGAAGTGAGGATGACTCGTGAAAATAATTTAATAGCGATTGTTCTTTTGAGCATTAACGATATAAAAGTACGTGTACTGGGTCGGAAAGGCAGTATACTTTCAGCAACTCTTCTCCCAATGAAGACAATGGATATTTTGAAAGGTGAGTAATCTCTTGTGTAGTTGCACGCGAGAGACGAAATGAGATGTAATCTGATTTTACATGTTCCATGAAGTACTGTGTCTATCATGGGCTACCAAGATTACCTCGCCAATGCCTTTTTTCACGGACTAATACGGCTTATAAAGCCTGTTGAATCCCCTAACTGAGCCAACCTGTTTCAGTGTACTTTTACAAAGTGGTATCGCATAGATCTCAGCCGATTGCAGTGTGTGTGCGGACCAATCCGAGTCCACTTCGAAGAACTAGACTGTCTGAACTGCGAAATGGATTCTAATCTGAGCTGGTTCAGAAATTCTGGTGCAGAGGTTTTAGCTCGTAGAATGTGGGATGAACACAATAGATTTGTTGGAGTTTCCACCAGAGCGTGGTCTTCGGAGGGAGGAAGTTAGGAGGCGACCCCATACCGGTGTAGCATCTTGAATCCGACCTCCAACATTGGTAAATTGCGTCGTATTTGCAGTGATTGCCGTTATGCAAATGGATGGAAATATTCACAGGGCAACATTTTGAACATCAATTGACCCTTGTCTATTATTGCTAGGGATAATCTATATAGGCTAGTAAGTCACCAACTTAGGCAGACACGTTCAACGCACGTCCGTTTTATGTATTAATTGTCAATAATACCGGGGACACAACAGTTTGTAAAAGTGGACAACGGAGGACAATCCACATCGAGCCCCATTGTTCCGACCTATCACACTATGAGACCATTTGTCGAGGACTCCAAAAGCGCCTTGCTAAAAAAGTTTCACTTTGTCCTCGAAATAATGACTTTTGCCCAGCCTGACTGTGGAATAACGACAGTGAATTATAGAAATTCCATCTATCTATTCAACCCCATTCAACCGCAATAGGACGAAGATATCTAAAGACGAACAGGAATGAATAACAATTGCCCAATCTACCAAGAACAAATCAGCATAAATTTTGATGTCTATTCCAGCTATTGTGTTGATCGCCATCCTCAGCAAACTCTCGCGGGCTGAGCTTACCTATGGACAAGCTGAATGTCCCGATAAGGATGATGCCGAGCAGAGTGAACGTCTAGTAAGTTGACGTTGATCATCCAAAGTTCTTGCCTAACCGACGTTTCAGGTACAAACGTATTTCCCTTTCGAAGGAGTCAAGTGGGAAGTACTTGAAACCAGATACGCAGAAGATGATTCCGGGAACTTCAATGTTCTGGTATGTCAATGAAACGGCGACAATCCGATATCTAATCCTCACATTCACAGATACGCGCAAACGGGGCGAAATGTTACACATTCAACATATTCCCCTATGAGATGGAAGATAAGAAACGCAGAGTAATGGATAAATTTCTTCCCACTTGTAAAACCGACCTGAATTGTCCAGCAGAATAAACACTGAATGTGATTTGGAATTAAGCTCCTTCTTACTCTACCCTCCCCCCAGGCCATGAACATTTTGTTCAGGTGTCAAGCAATCACCGATCTGACGTCTTGTGAGTCACGAAGTCGGAGTGCTTAAAACAACGTATACCTACCCTGCTTAAATAGGAAAACCTTTGTTTTCTGAGATCTCCAAACGGAGGGCTGAACAGTTTGTTGACTAGACAAACGAAAGTACCAATATATGCACCAGGAAATATTGCGCTTGAGCACCGTGTACACGGAAAGGAAATGACAAAACCGCAACGAACAGAAATGTTACTATAGTTGCAAACCATTCGCCAATTAGTAAGATATTGTAGTGCACTCATTAATCGAGAGCTGTTTCATGAAATGGGCCCAGCAGCTCTTGATCCTATCTCCAGCAGTCACTGGATTCTCACCGTTCCCAAGCAAACGTTTCATTGCGAAAGCATCTATTTAAGTAGCAATCACTCTTCTGTGGATGTGTTCATCCACACGGAATCGGCTGTCCGATTGAGCTTGAACAGATCACATTGAAACGAGTGGAATAGACGTCAAATTGTGGAGACGATCCAAATCGATTATACCTAGTCAAAAGTGATTTGTAGCCCAGATTGGAAGATTACTAAGAAAGCATAATATTTAGACTGCCAGACGAAAAGTCGTAAACGTTTAAGCTACATGCAAGTAAAAGGCACAATAAAATTGAGTTCAGGACAGAAATCCGGCTAGCCAAACGGGGGAGATGTGCCCCGTCCCGTAGCAGATATTGCAGGGTATAATTAAGTCATCATTTAGTAACCAATGCGATAGTGACAGACTTCGCGAAGTCAGAATTTAAATTTCGCGAACTTCACATAAGAGTTCACGCGAGAATTTGTCGCTGTTTTGATAATATGGGGAACACAAGAAGATGGCGACTAGCTACGCCCAATCCACTAACTGCAACAAACAAAAAACATAAGATCAGGGTTGCTCTATAAAAATGGCAAATCGCTCGAGTTCCGTGATGAGCTTACTCGTTGGCAAAAGCAAACTTCTGGCGCAAAGATGGCATAGAATTTATGTGGACGCATGTGTTAAACCAGGAGAATGAAACATTAATTCAATGTGCAATATAACGGCGAACCAGCACCTATAAGATAAGGTTGATGGAAAGCTCATCGCATGCTCACAGAGCGTTCTGCCGTCCTTGTGGGCGATTCAGATGGATTGTGTTCAGAGTCCAGTCAAAGCCCAGTTCACATATTAACGAGGGTATTTGCGATAAATGTGGAATCAGTAGAGAATGTTTAGAAGCGATTGTAGGGTCATCGATTCAGGAGGATTCGGTGAGCGCAACGACAGTTAAACAAACCCATCCGAGCTCGTTCATTGGGCGATTATCCATAAAAGAGATATTTCGTAGGCGACGGCTACAGTCGTACAGATATGTGCATAAGACCACCGGTATTCCTTCAATCCGAATTAGGCGATCTCCGTTGATAAGCCCAACATCTAAGCAGAGGTAAAGCTGTACGCACAACACACGCCGTGAAAATTGATTAGTACATGAATTTAAAGCGGCGAATTATCGCAAAATTCCTCACTGAAGATTCTTACACCACTCGCGGAAATGGGTGCCAGATGTGATCCGGCAGATAGTACATTTTGCATTTGTACACAAGAATCTCCAACAATCCGACAACATCACTGAAAACTCGCACGAATTAAGTGGTTGGGGTACGGAACAACACCTAGCTACAAGCGGCAAATCCACTCAGTATGACGAATAATAACGTGACAGTCCAGTCAGTGACCGGACAACGCATGCCGAGACTATGAATGTCGCGATCCGACCGGGAGTTCGACTGAACGTCTAGAAGTGGTGGGATCGGGGTTTGATAAGCAAATGAGCAAGGATATCCGCAACCAGATCAGTATCTGATTAACTTAGTCTCTAATGGACATCCGGGTGGAAGGCATTTTAGTGCACGCCACAAGTTGCGGCAGAGGTCTTTTTTTAAATGATTCCAACGTACAGCCCCTTCGACCATCCAACCAGGAGCAATTTTCCTCTCCTTCATCGGAGATGGTTCACTTCAAATGACGGGTATGTGATTTCCGCATTGAGAATACTTCCGGATGACTAATATCAGTCATGACTAGATGTGTGCTGGCAAGTTTGTTTTTTTTTCCACAGGTTGTAGAACGGTGATTAGAAGAGAAATGTAGTGTGTGTATGAGGGCAATCAGCTCATGCTGAGGTTCGACAGATTTTCAGTCCTTGAGCAGATGAACAAGCAGAACATAATTCATCCCTCCATCAACCTTGCCCCTTTGACGCCATTCAGTCTGACAGACGACTCTGCGTACTCTAGTTTTGCTTGCACACTTACTTGCACACTTACACTTAGGATACCATCAAGTCACACACAATCCAGTCTACCTAGGCCATCTCCGGGCAAAGATATTTCAGATTCATTTTGGTGTAGATGTGAAACAGTTTTGTTGGAATAGCTTGTTTTCTGCAGGACAGTCAATATCTGAAGACCACGTAGTCGCTGTTGCCCAGTGGCTTCTCCATGGTTGTTTACTTCTGATCACTTGAGAACCTCAGCACTATTAAATTAATTATAAACCGGGTTACTGAGCATTTCATTCTCCTTGCTCCGTTCACATGTTGATGGGATACTCGTCTTGGGGTCGGCTACGTGTCTCCAGCCCCAAGCAAGTAAGGTCACGTGAACATCAACCAGAAAATTCATGACGGTCTCACATGATTCATTTGGATGTTTGGTATGACAAAGCTTGTCCCCAACCCACCCTTCACCAAAACGGCTTTAGTGTAGAAAACGAAGCTCTGTTCGATACACGTTGATTAGGCAATCGGGGTGTTTGACTAAATCACCTCATCTGTTACTCTCGTAATCCCTTCTCGTTGCAGATTATCATTCTCACATTGCGAGCATGACTCAACATTCCAGTACTTTCTAGGTTATAAAGATTTCGAAGTAAAAATGATCGGATCCGTTTGGGATCATGTCCTGTGATCACTGGGTGGATCTGTCTTGTGCAGATAGCCTTTTAGGTTCTGTAAATTTTGTTTCCGTCGCCAGAGAGCCGGTGCTCGTCTGCAGGGCAAGCAGTCGAGTGATGCCAAAGGTGATAGCTAATTCCCGAGGTCGTCGTGGGTTCCAGGTTCACTGTCCAATGCTGCGTTGCAATTACGGATTCAGGCTGAGCACCTGCAGGTAGCCAGGCAAATTGTCATTGAAACTGTTCAAACTAACGTTTCGAGAATGCTTCTTTTTTAGGGCATGATTTGGACCGATCCACCCTTTTATTCTACGCGAATGCCCCATTAAACATGAGGACCACGTTCGTCTGGTGATACTGTATTTTTGAGTATGAGGAATTTCTATCCGAGGTTTGAGCACTTTTGAAGTGTTGCTCGATCTCAATTCCATAGATCTAGAGGGTTTTAGCTTTCTATAAGCGTAGCGACCGCTAATCTATGTTTGGGCTTCAACTCCAGCCCCACTATCAGATTCTGCTTGAAAGACAAATTGCCACGTTCTACCACCAGCTTTTGTGTGTACTCATTCGTGTGCCCGTGCCGAGCATCATACGTTGGTCGTAAGACAAGGCATTTATCGGACGGAATACGAGAATACTATCCCGTATCTCTGAGTGGTATTGGAAAGAAACCAGGCTCAAGCGCGATTGCAGCACGCTTGGCCGAAACCTGTCATATCATAGACAAGGAACAAGCCTTCACCATCATATACCGGGTACCTCTGAACGGATCACGACTGGTACGATCCAGACTACTATCGATCGCAGAGGCGATAGGAATCCGACTGCTGGATCCACAACTTTGCATCCAAAAGAAACTTGTGCGACCTCTGAACTTGAACTGGCCTACGAAACATCTGGTCCCACAAGTCTGTCTGACATTGACGTCATGACCCATTGACCTACCCCTCACCCAACTCCCTTCCTTTGACTTCTATTTCTCTAAAGTGTAGCCCCGATCTTAACCTTTTCCACTTGATTTCTGCTACCATATAAATTTGTGATGTAGAAGCCAAGATGAACAATCACAGAAAACGAGCTTTGTTCGCTACCTTCTTTGTTCTCATATCAAGCGATCACTTCAATCTCACCGATATTGTACTCGTTTGCCACTACATGATTACGGCGAAAGACTAACAATTCTTTGACTACTCATAAGTAGCCGTATACTAAACTGATTCGTGGCATTGTCCGTTAAATTTACTTTTAAGCCAGAACGACTTCGGCTACAAATAAGATACGTGAGTGCCTGCACACCAGAACGTAATGTTCGGAAATTGAAATGGCCGGAGAGTTTTGATGCATTGGGCCATCTAACTCAAAGAGGCATTGGGTCACTTCCAACGAAGACCAAAGTGCTAGAGAGGCAGAAGTTCTTGGGATCCCACGACACCTTCATCAGTTGATAGATCGAGTAGCCGCAGGTACTTTCTTACACTTCGAGATTATGTTGTTTATGGTGAATAACTTGGTAACTGGCCTCCAAGCTTGGCAATTATCCTGGAAATTCCGGTCATGTTCGGTCAACGGCGGTAGCATGGGGAGGGGCAGATTTCACCTATGACACATAGTTTGCCGTCAATGCTGTTCTATATTGTCGATGTCAGGATTAAGGTGGTGCGGTTTGCAAAAACTTGTGCAATTTAATGAGGCTGACGACACAAGCAACAGTGGAACAACAAGGCGAAAACGCAAACTCGTGCCTGCTGTTCGATTCTGTTAGGTTTGCTTCCGTTTACAGATCATTATTTTTACTAAACAAATAGAAATCAAGTAAGGCCACTGCACACTTCAATCAACTTGAGTTGGACGCGTCGATTTTAAAGGACGCTAGCATTCACTCTTTTCTCACCCTCAAAACCACACTGACTTATCCGAGCGCTGATATTTTTGCTGATTGTAATTTGTTCAAACTAGTTTTGTCGATAGGG